AGCCACAAATAATTCACTTCCTTGCATCAGGATGGTAAATCTTTACATCCTGGTGCCCATCTTTCTCCTGTGGAATGAATGACTAGGCTATTTGAACAGTCAGCCTCGCAGTTAACACCCCAATGTCTAACCCACAGTGCCACCAGAGCTCCTTTGTAAACCCTATAGGTTGGTTCTAGTCTGCCTTGTAGGATCACTATTATGTGGAATCCACTTAACAGGGATGGCTTTTTAAAACAAGTTTAGGGAGATTAAAAGACAATAAAAAACACACAATCTCACTGCCATCTAGTCAATGCTCATAGTCGTCCTATAGGACCTAGAACTGCCTCCTGTCCGTTTGTAAGATTGTAACTCTTCATGGGAGTAGAAAGCCCTGACCTTCTCCCTCTGGTAGTTTTGAATTGCTGACCTTGCAGTTAGCAGCCCAGCTAGTAGCCCCAGCTAGCAGTTCCTTATCAGTTACATCACATAGGGTTAGGTTGCGTGCTAATCTCAGTGTCTTCTCAGGAGGAGTATTTAATTTAAAAGGGAGGGAAAAAATAGACACCTATGAACATCTGCTTAAACGAAGAGGTCAGGAACTACCTGGAGTTTTGTGAAACAGAACAATGTATGGCTCTCCAGAAAGTTTACATAGCCCTGAGAAGCCCTGAATGTATTTCCACCACTATGTAAAAATAAATTTCATTCTTTAAAACCAACTACCTTGTTAAAACAGCCCTGGGACACCCTAACCCATGGCTACCCAGTCGTTTCTGGAACCTCAGTACTGTGCTGCTCAGTCTCAACCCTGAATACTTAAGACATGTTTTAGTAAGTGCTCAATGGAGGCTTGTTAAATACCGGTAACTGTACTTTTCATCCTCAAACAGATACTGAAAGTTTACCTTTTCCTGTGTGTGCAATTGTTTTTGTGTCACATAATTGTGAAAAACAAATAGGAAAGGGTTGACTCAGAGATTTTTTTTGCAAAAGCCTATCTTTCAACTTAAAGGAGCCCTCTTCCGTCCTGGGCGCTTTCACAACCAACCGTCAAAATAAGTGTTATCACTGTTCTTCACAAAGACCCAGAACTGCCTCTAGGTCAGGACCTGGGGCTAAGTCATTGACAGGGAGCAGGTGAAGCAGAGCTCTAGCGCTTAGGGTTTGAACGTCAAGTTCCAACTCAGCGCATAAAATGGTCACCGGTCTCCCTTCACGACGAAACCCACCCCTGTGTCGTCCGTTGAGCAAACAGCACCAGGTGCGGAGGCTAAAGGAAGTTTCTGCGGCGTCGCAACTGTCAAAGGGCCGCCCTCCCAGCACTCGCCACCTGGGGCTCCGGGAACCGCCCCAGCCCATAGAGGTGGGCGGCTCCGCGGCGCGCCCTTTGATGGCGTCATCACGCGTGCGCACGTATCTCCCCCGTTGCGTCACCGACGCAGACGGGGCTGGAGTTCTCGTCTGCGCCTGCGTGGGGAACAGCTGGCGGAACCG